GACCGGGGCACGAACCCGTGTCCCCTGCATCGGCAGGCGGACTCTCAACCACTGCGCCACCAGGGAAGCCCTGAAGTCCATTGCATTTTAATAAAAAATATGAAGAGTTTCATAAGAATTGGATTTTACACTATGCGGTACTGTGTGTTGGTTGTATTAAGAGTTAAGGTCAGGGACATCCCTGGCGGTCCAGTGGTTAAGACTTCGCCTTCCAATGCAGGGGGTGCGGGTTCGATACCTGGTGGCGGAGCTAAGATCCCACAGGCCTCGCGGCCACAAAACCGAAACATAAAACAGAAGCAGTATTGTAACAAATTCAATAAAGACTTTAAAAAAAAGTGTTAAGGTCAGTTAAGATTTAAGATTAGCCTCTGAATTACATGATGTTTAGTAAAGAAAGTAACAAAAAAAGTTTGGGAGTTGGATTCTAATAAATATAAGTGACACAGGCATGGGGGAAGTTGCAGGCTGTCCTCTGTGTGCAAAAGGAACAGAGAAGGACATAAAACACCTCTCGGATTGCTGAAGAGGGTAGTGGTCAGGAGCAGAAGATAGGTTGGTACCAACCGTAAAGGAGATGAATGAACACTTCTATAGGAGAGCATGGACGACATTTCACAGATCTTAATTTTCAGAGTTGGCAAGGATGTCAGGAACCATGAAGTTCTGAAAAGATGAATGAGTTATCTAAACTCACACAGCCTGTTTTTGGCTAAGTCAGAACAGGAAACCAGGTCTCTTTCCATTATACCACAGTTAGAGGATGACAGGACATGCATGAGGATGTGAAGACTTTAAGTAAGTAATTAAATCATAACGGTGCATCAACACTTGAATTTGATGATGGTTGTTAAGATCCATTCAAGTGGATAGAATGGAAGATAGGGAAGTTCGAAAAAGTACTGTTCTAAAATTCCCAGTTGGTACTCATGAGGACATGGGCGAACATTTTGGCCATGACTTGGAGAACAGAGGGAGGTTTGAGAGGAAATGGGCCAGGCATTTCATGCTTCCATAGTTCAGGTTCACCCATGTATCATAGTTAATCACGTGTAGCTCTTCACTTCTAGTCCTTCTGTGTGTGCAGGGCACAAAGTTTATTCATTCCTAGCACTTAATATCATGGCTAAAGCACAGGAGCTACTCAGTATGTGTTTGTTGAATGAATAGTCCCAGAAGTTGTCTGTTTGTAGAGGTTGGAGGAGACAGAGAATTCAAAGTCAGACTAAACCCTAGTAATAATAGCGCAGCTTGGCAGGAAGAGGGGTTGACGGAGTCGAAGGCTTCTGAAATGCTGTGGTAAGATATTACACCACTGCACATAAATTTGAGGACAGTTATCATTGCTTAAGACACAAAGGGAGGTAACACTGAATATATATTATATATGATATGGTTTGTGCATATATAAACTGGGGAAGACTACCATGTTTTACCCATGGGGAAAAAAAGAAAAAAATTATAGTTTTGTTTTTTTTTTTAAATGTAGGATTCACCACAGGTTCATTCAATAATTAAGGCTTGAGTAATGTGCAAAAGTTGTGTATTTATAGTATAAATTTAAAAAAGAAAAAAATTTCCAGTGCAAGCATCACCACACAAACCATTAATATACTGTGGAGTCAGGTTACGGAACAAATTGGTAGGAAAACGTAATCCTCTTTCCACTTTTCATCCTTTTCAAGGCAAGTATTGGCCTTTCATGTTTTTAATATATATATTCTGATGATAGCTTGATGTTTAAAAAGAAATGTCAAGTGGCATTTTAGCCTCTAGAAATCCAGTAGCACCTTAAACAAAAACAATGGAACTAACCTTGTTTTGCAGTGTTCATTTCTTTGCCATCACCTATTTGGAAGCACTAGATTTTTAGCTTAAAGCTGGGTATTATTTGGCTTTTCTCTCTCTCTCTGCTTGTCTGATTGCTCTGTCTCTTGACTCTTTTGCCAGCTCCTACCTCCTTAACTGCTGGAGGTTTCCAGGGTTTGGTCCTTGACCCTCTTTGCATTCTGTCTGCTCTCACAGCTTCAGCTCTCACCTCTGTGCATTTGACCCAAGTCTGGTCTTCCTTGCCCTTAGATCTCAGATGCCATTTTTATTTTCTTGCTGCACATTTCACCTGTATGCTTTTCTAGTACCTCAAACTAAACATTCCCAAACCAAACGCATCATTTCACCTTCAAACAATTCTACTTTCTCAGGTTGGCAGGATCTTCGCTTCTTACACAAGTTTGATAACTCAAGGGCATCTCTTTCTTCCTTCTTCGTTACCTACCACAGTGTCCCGGGAATTTGACTTATATTTGTTCCCGTGTCGTCTTTGTTGGAAACACACTTCCCTACCCATTATCCCTGACCTATTCCTTCAAAATCTAGCTTAAATTCTTCATGAAGTCTTGAGTCACATCAAAGTAACCCCTCTTTCCGTTGCACTCCTGTAACATTATATTTTAATGCGTCTTAAGCCATTTATCACATTCTTTCCTATATTAATTTGTTTTTTTATTGAAGTAAGTTGGTTTACAGTGTGTTAATTACTGCTGTACAGCAAAGTGATTCAGTTATACACACACACACACACACACACACACACACACACACACACATATTCTTTTTTGTTATATTCTTTTCCATTACGGTTTATCACAGGATATTGCATATACTTCTCTGTGCTCTACAGTAGGACCTTGTTGTTTATCCATCCTGTATATAAAAGCTCACATCGGCTCATCCCAAACTCCCAGTCCATCCCTCCCCCAAACCCCTGCCCCTTGGCAACCACCAGTCTGTTCCCCATGTCTGTGATTCTGTTTCTGTTTCATAGTTAGGTTCATTTGTGTCATATTTTGGATTCCACATATAAATGATATCATATGGTATTTGTCTTTCTTTTTCTGATGTACTTAGTATGATAATCTCTAGGTCCATCATGTTGATGCAAATGACATTATTTCATTCTTTTTTATGGCTGAGTAATATTCCATTGTATATATGTACCACATCTTCTTTATCCATTCATCTGTTGATGGACATTTAGGTTACTTTCATGCTTTGGCTGTTGTGAATAGATACTAGAGTTATTTGTGCACTCTCCTACCTTTCTTACTAGACTGAAAATTTTATGGCAAAGTCCTTCAATATTTTTTTTATTCCCAGAATACAGTTAGTGCTCATTCTGTGTAGTAAGTGCTCAGCACATTTGTCGAATGAATGAATGGTTATAAATTTCCAATATTGTTATGTCATGAGAATATGTAATGATCAGAGATTATGAGAGAGGCTTAGGTTCTTTCTGGGAAAGTAATTGTAGGATGGGTAATTTTTTTATGTTGTGTTAATTGAGAAATAAAACTTTTTTAGGTGTCAAATTGGTTTGCTAATGCAAGACGTCGGCTTAAGAATACTGTTCGACAGCCAGATTTAAGCTGGGCCTTAAGAATAAAGTTGTACAATAAGTATGTTCAAGGAAACGCTGAGCGGCTGAGTGTAAGCAGTGATGACTCATGTTCTGAAGGTTTGTTAGTATTTTTATCTTGCTTTCTTTGCTCTGCCTTTGTAAGGGGACATTCACTTCAATTGCTGTTTTTAAGGTTGATCCCACAAAACATGATGGTGCCATAATGGTTCTTTTTCATTGCATGAGGTAACTTTACTTTTACAATACTGTAAATGAGCAGCCAAATTATGGCTGCTTCCTCTTGTTCATAGATTTATCATGTGTCAGAATAACATTTTTTGTGAAGTTCATTAAAATTAACGTACCAAAGGGAGAGATTATATAGATTCCTGCTTTCCTTTGCCTAAAAATTAATCTTAAATATCAAAGATAATTTTATACACTTTAAATATTCTTCCTATATATATTTTAAATCATTAAATGTAACAGTTGGGTGTCAGGGGAAAAGTATGTATAAGTACTCCCTGGTGGTATTTTTCCCCCTTAGATGGAGAAAATCCTCCACGAAACCACGTGAGTGAAGAAGGCTATAATAACCCAGTTCACCATCCTGTGATTAAAAGTGAGAGCTCAGCCATAAAAGCTGGAGTGAGGCCAGAGTCACGGGCCAATGAGGACTACGTATCGCCCCCAAAATACAAGAGCAGCTTGTTGAATCGTTACCTTAACGACTCTTTGAGACACGTCATGGTCGCAAATGCTGCCATAATGGGAAAGACAAGGCAGAGAAACCATTCAGGATCTTTTAGTTCCAATGAATTTGAGGAGGAATTGGTATCTCCCTCATCGTCAGAAACCGAAGGCAATTTCGTCTATCGCACAGGTAAGTCTGTGCTTTTTGTGATGCCTTGTTTGAAACAGAATTAAAGCTGCAGCAGAGAGCTTTCTTTTGACAGGTGTAAAGGCATAATTTTTATTGCTTGTGCATCAGATTATGTACATATGGCCTATAATTCAGTTTGAAAGCTTTCATTTTGTTCTTAATTAGCAGATACGCTTGTTAGTAGATGATGGTTTACTGGGAAGCTTTCATCCTTAATAAAAATTTTTAATCTTAGTGATAAACATTCTTAGAGGAGATATGTATTGGCTTTATGAATAAAGTGTAATGGAGGAATATCCCAGATTATAACCAGCCATGCAAATCCTCTGTACTCCATCTTTTCTCTTAAGTTCTTTGATTGCTTATAGTGATGGAAAATGAACACAAAGTAGCATGGGTGCCAAGACGTTTGTGAAGGAAACGTGGCTTAAATTGCTTTGGAAATCTTACTTTTTATTCCTGAAACACACAAGTAGGGTTGTAAGTAGCTTTGAAAGTTTTGCTTTTAGTCAGGAAAGAGCGAATCAATTTCTACCTGTCCACAACTTTCAGATGGAGTGGCAAGTTTGGTAAAATTATCTGTCTTGACTTCAGTGCTTCATTACAAAGGATTGTGTGCCCTACATCTGGTGTAGGTAGACTCTGGGTCCTGAAAATGCCAGGCAGTGAGATTTAGAAATGTTACCCCTGGAATTAGTAACTTCAGGGGGCATATGCAGCCCAGCCACATTATGTCACAGATAAGAAAGCCCCGACCAAGGACACGCAGCGAGTTCCTCTTCTCCAGGTCAGTGGTGTAGCTGAGCCTGCACAAGAGGTTGGAGGAGCCTAACTACTGCTAGATGACTGTCACCGCTACTGTTACACATACTGCCACCAGTCATTTATTGAATAGTTGTGATATGCTAGGTTCTACGCTAAATACTACACAAGTACTACTACATTTAGTCCTTATAACATCAAGGAGCTTGATATGTGAACAGTAGAGCTTTATAAAGAAATTTAAAGTTGGTCTGTTTAATATATCCTTAAGGTTATTTAGCCAGATATCTGATTTTTAAGTGTCTACAAATATGTACAAGATCTATGAGGATTCAGAGGAAATCTGAATACATTTTTGACTTAATCTCATTTTTTGTTTGTATCTCCAACTGCAACAATGAAAACAACTCCAAACACTCAGAAATACATAGCCTTGTAAATAATAAATTGGGTCTAGGAAGAAGTAAAAGATGCAATAAAAGATAATTTAGCCAATAATGAAACATTTAAAACTATCTACTAATACCTAACTGACAGAACTTGTAAGTAATTCAGAGTGTTTGAGGAAAAGGAAAATAAACCAAGTCATTCAAGTAGAGATAATTGAAAAAGAATAAACAGAAAACAAAAAGTGGTAAAATGGAAGCTGAAAAATAGATAAATAAATCAAGAGTTGGCTCTTTGAAGTCAGTAGTAAAAAAACTCAAGCAGGGGCTTCCCTGGTGGCGCAGTGGTTGAAAGTCCGCCTGCCGATGCAGGGGACGTGGGTTTGTGCCCCGGTCCGGGAAGATCCCACATGCCACGGAGCGGCTGGGCCCGTGAGCCATGGCCCCTGAGCCTGCGCGTCCGGAGCCTGTGCTCCCCAACGGGAGAGGCCACAGCAGTGAGAGGCCCGCGTAATGAAAAAAAAAAAAAAAAATTATGATAAAGTACTATGCACAATTGTTTGACAGTATACTGTATGCAAATGTATGGATGAAGTGAATTGCTATTATCCACACAAATTAAATTATTAATTCATAATAAGAAAAGGTTTAAATGACTGCTAATGCACGAAAAATTAAGGTTTTTAGTAAACTCAGTTCCCAAAACACTTGATAGATAACTTGATAGATCCATTGGAGTTTTTTTCAAACTTTGAAGAAATAATTCCTATGCTTTATACATTTTTCTGGAACATATAAAAACATGGGGAATATCCCAACTTTTAAAAATGTAAATGTTATCCAAATCCCAAACCAGATTAAGATAGCATAAAAGTCAAAATTTTTATTTGTAATACTGATACTGACTATGAAACAACATGGGAAATATTGTAAGGTTAAGTGAAAAAATTTTAATTGTGGATACACTGAGTATAATTATGACAAGTGTGTATGGACAAAAACAAGGAAGATAAAAACAATGAAAATTACAATTTGATGAGGGAGTATAATTGAAGGACCATTGTTTAAATGTTTTTTTTCTTGTAAATTTATGTTGCCCAGTAAAAACAAGGTCAGGTGCCTATGAAATTTCCCCAGTGTGTTGGGTCTTCTGAAAATCCGTGCTCTTTTCCAAGGTGACAAAATGTAAAGTCAAAGAAGGACTAGCATGCCTGTATAGTTGATGCTTTTCGAAGTGAAGTTGCTTGGCCATGTATTTTTATGAAAGCATTCCAAATGCACTTGGTCCATGGTATGGACTATTCGCTTGCCAAATTCTAGTTTGTTTTTTTTTTTTTTTTTTTCTCTTGCGTTATGCGGGCCTCTCACTGTTGTGGCCTCTCCCATTTGCGGAGCACAGGCTCCGGACGCGCAGGCCCAGCAGCCACGGCTCACGGGCCCAGCCGCTCCGCGGCATGTGGGATCCTCCCGAAACGGGGCACGAACCCGCGTCTCCTGCAACGGCAGGCGGACTCTCAAGCACTGCGCCACCAGGGAAGCCCCAAATTCTAGTTTTAAATCAAACCTATCTTTTAGTTATGCAAGCAATGAGATGGCAGCCTAGACACGTAAACTTCTGGATTTGCGTGCATATGTATAAGCTTAAAAAGAACAGGATACAACTTTGGGGTTTGTGGATGGAGCATGAGGAAAGACTGGTTGGTCTCAAACTGGTCTACTAAATTTCAGACGAAGACAGTAAATGGCTGTCTTCTGTGGGAATTGAGTGACACTGCTGCTGCAGTTGTATCTGGGTTAGCAGTCATGCATAAGCGGTGGAACAGAGAATTTCAGTAAATATTTTCTGAACAACTGCTTTGGTTTTCTCTGGCATACAGGCTATTCCGAATCCCTTCAGTTCCTTCTGGTTGTATCTTTCCTTCCTCATCCAAACAGCAACCTTCTATGTCTGCTCTCAAACACCATCCCCTCCACCACCCTAGTTCTATAGTAGTACAAAGACTTCGGCTTAAAAAAATTTTTTTTTCAGAAGAGATCACCTTTAAATACAAGTTATTGGTTTATCTGTGCTGAGAAATCGTATCCGTTTTTCCACCCATTTTTGTAAGACAGCTGCTGTCGCATGATGCATTTCCCTAAGTATAGGGAGTCAAAAAGCCAAGTGAAAGGAAGAGTTGGTGTTTGGAAGGCTAACGTATCACTGAATTTCATTTCACTTGTTAAACTCTAGCAGGGAGAAGTCTGGTAGATTATAAAGCAGTAATCCTAATTGAAGATATTATTAGACACCATCCAAGTAGATACAAACATGTTTTTATTGATTTTATGTAGACACTAAATATTTCTCTCTAATCTGCAGTCTCCCACAACATGCAGGAAAAAAAGAAAAGATGTTCTTTTTTCAGGGGCATGGTAGGCTCTCAGTAAGCATTCTGACAGCAGCAATTATAACATTAGAATTGATCAGAATTATTAAGGTTATTGCTTCTAAATACAGTTAAGTAATACACAAGAAAATCTAGTCACAGAGTGTCATCTGTTGAATGAAGTCACCTAAATTAAAATTACAGTCCTCTTCGTCATGTTAGGTTAACAGGTGGTAATTTTCAGATATTCGATGGAGGGGTTCTGCTCTCTGAGGTGTCAGGATGAGGACCCTAGCATCATACATGCCTCTACTCCTGTTGACTCAGTGCTCAAGTTCCCCAGATGGGGCCATCCGTGAAGGAGCCAGCCACCATCTGTAGCATGTTCCAGAGTGAGTCCTCACTAGAGGCTTTCCTAACTTGGATTTGAGTTTAATTTACCCTAAACCAAGCCTATTAAATTTCCTTCTTCAGTGAGGGAGAAAGGAGACATTTCTAAGAAGTATACTTCGTGAGGGGACTGTCAGGCAAGTCTTGAAACAGGAAGTGTGAACTTCCCTGCTCTGTTGCTGGCACGAGGACAAGTTCCTATTCTGTTCTTTCTTTTCGCAGCTCACAAATGACCAACTTATAAATGGCTAGTACACTCTGATGGTTACTCTCTGAGCCCCACTGCTTCCCCACTGCTTTATGAATTTATATAATTCATAAATGTACTCTGCTCCCACGAGGCTGAACTTCATCTTGTTAAACTGCCTAAAATCCCTCTTAATTATACACATCTGGTATAGAAAAACCATATTGGCAGATAGAACTCTTTTCTGTTAGTGTGAATTAATCAGATTAGCTTCCCCTCCACTTGACTGAGGTGAATATCCCTGAAGAAATGGAGGTTTTTTTTTTTTTTGCCGTACGCGGCCTCTCACTGTTGTGGCCTCTCCCGTTGCGGAGCACAGGCTCCGGATGCGCAGGCTCAGTGGCCATGGCTCACGGGCCCAGCCGCACCACGGCATGTGAGATCTTCCTGGACCGGGGCACGAACCTGTGTCCCCTGCATCGGCAGGCGTGGCCTCTCCCGTTGCGGAGCACAGGCTCCGGACGCGCAGGCTCAGCGGCCATGGCTCACGGGCCCAGCCGCCCCGCCGCATGTGGGATCTTCCCGGACCGGGGCACGAACCCGTGTCCCCCGCATCAGCAGGCGGACTCCCAACCACTGCGCCACCAGGGAAGCCCCAGAAATGGAGATTTTGATGGACAGAAAAAAGTCATTTATTTGGTGCACAGGACTCTTTGGGAGGTGGAGTCCATTTGAATGGCCTGCAAAATGGGGCAAAATGAGGGAACTAGGGATTTTGGTTACTGGGGAAAGACAAACAAGGCAGTAGAAAGTAAATCTGGGAGAATGACAAAAAGCTAAATGCCATTTCCAAATGTTTTTTCTTGGCTAATGATGACCCCGGTGGGTGGTGGAGATGGTCTTTTTTCG